GCAGCTGAGATAGTCAGAGCTCGCTTGCATAATGGGTGTGACAATAACGAGAAACACCACCCCCTGCAATGTGATTGTAACGAGGACTCCTGAATCAAATGAAAGCGCCAACTGGATGGCGTGGGCTATAACGGATGTGACAGTAGGGCGGAGCTGCTGCAAAGCCACAAACGGGAGGACGGTGAGGAGCAGCAATAAGAGGCAAACAGCAGAATCGGTGGAGTAAATTAGGTATGTAATCGGCGCAGTATCCTTCCAAAAGAGCAGATAGGAGACACCTAGACCCCATGAGATTAGCAGAATAACGCCGCTGACGACACAGGACACAGTAACGACGCGAGGGGTCAGGTTTCCGTGGAGTCGGCTGAGGGCGAAGCGGGAGGGGGCAGGGAGAGGAGGAGGGCGGAGAGGGCACAGGGGAGGAAGAAGGCGAGGGCGGCGAGGGACGGCCGTTGGAGCGCGAAAAGCGGCGACGCGAGCTCGTGGACGAGCAGCAGCGCGATGCACGCCGCGAGGGCCGCCGCCCATGGCGCGTCGCGCTGCGGAAAGGCGGGGGAGATTCCGCCGCAATGCGCGGCAGCAGCGCAGGCCACTTGTGCCCCCAGTGGGGGGGCTTGCGCGGTCCGTGCTGAACGCGCGGAGTGATCCTTGTCCCTGGCTCCCGCGCACTGCGCTTCATCGTCTGAAGCCTCCGCGCGCGGCGGGTGCGGCGGATCCGGCGGATGCGGCGGGAGCAGCGCTTGGGTGGCCGGCGAGGCTTCGAGGAAGACCGGGATGGCGCGCGCGGCAGTGGCGTGCGCGGCGGCGCGGGAGCCACCTGGAATTGACGCCATAGAAAGTTACTATCGTGGGCGTCAGCAGCAGTACTTAATGAGCGAAAGTGGAATGTTGAGAGGCGTGCAGAGCAAGCAAGGTGGCGCTGTGTGCGTGTGTCTCATGGCTGACGGAGCTCTTGCTATGCGCGCCTCTCGCCTGCTCGCCTGCACGTGACAAGGCACCTCCTGACTCGCGCCGCTTGCTTTCCCCCGAGCCCCGTCCGCTGCGGGCACGCCTCACAATCCCGCCGAGTGCGGTTGCCGTGGCAGCCGGCTGCGGTCCAGGTACAGACTCATTACGAATGGAGCGCAGGAAATGACTGCCGTTATCCCCGATAAAGGTAGTCAACTGAGCTTGCATGGCGCCCTGGGCATCTGCTGCAGGGGCAGGTGAGTTGCGTGCGTGGCGCGATGGCGTGCGGTGCAGGAAAGCAGCAGCTGCTGCTGGTGAATAATTGATTCGATACAAGCATTCTGTTAGGAGACCTATTTCGTCTCTTTTTTCAAGGTAAGTCCTTTTCAACAATGTTAACTACTTGCGCCCACTAGGTGAGCTTAGTATATTACAAAGCATCACAATTGAAGTCAGTAAGCAAAACATAAGAGATGCTCAATGCAATCTAAACCTCGCCATTGGCCTTTAAGTCGACAGACGATAGGGAACTGCCTGCAACCAAGCCTGCGGCATCAGAGCCCTCTTCCGCATCTAGCTTCTTGTCCCACGCAAAGCACAGCACTGCAGTGGCGACACCTGTAGTGAGGACGAAGGAGAGCGCTACCATGGAGAGAAGAGACACTGCAAAAGCGGCCAAGATTCCGACAATGAGAACCATCAAACCAGCTAGCTGATACAACCCAGGATCCTGGTAAAACAGCGACCAACCAAAGCCCTGCACATAAAGCACGACAAGGAAAGTCAAAGTTAAAGCTCAACTTCTTCACTAGTAATATCAAAATGAGTGCAGGAATTTGATAGTGTACTCACCCCAAAGAGGTACACGCATGAAAGCAGTGCGCGGCAACAGTGTACTCACCCCGAAGAGGCCGATCAATTGGTTGATGAGGAACACGGGAACCATCACCATGACAAGCAGGGCCAGCGCGGAGGCATTCACCGCAACGATGGGCACGGGGAAGCGCTGCAGAATGTCAAGCGAGAGGCGCACAGAGCGGGAGAAGCCATGGCCGCTCATGGCGCTGGTGGGGAGCACAAGGCAGTGCAGGAAGAACTGGATGGCGACTTCCGCGCAGCGCAGCAGCACCCCCAGCAGGCAGCCGATCACGTTGTCGCCGAAGAGAGCGAGGCCGAGGCCGGATAGGATGAGCTTGACGATGGTGGCGGCGATGGCAGCAGCGGCAATGGCGCAGCAGGTGCCCAGGGAGGAGGTGCATGCGAGGGAGAAAGCGGAGCAGAAGAGCTCCAGCTGGCCCTTGACTGTCATGCGCTCCTTCCCTTCCCCACCCTGCATGCCCTCGCTGCCCCCCCTGCTGTCGCTACTGCTGCTGTTTGTGACGTACAATCGCGCGTAGATTGCTGCCACCGAGTAGATGAAGAGTGTTGCGAGCACTTGGAGGGCGAAGGCGAAGAAGGGCAACAGGAGGATCGACAGGACGAGATGGCTGCTATAATCTATCGAAGGGAGGGCGAGCAACAGCGCTGCAAGCATAACGGGGAGCGCCATAAAGAGGATGACGGGGGCCTGGGCGATGGTGGCATGGGCGATGTGCGCGATGGCAGAGGCGGCGAGTGACAGGTGGTGGCTGTAGCGCAGCACGAGGAGCAGCGCGAGGGCGCTGAGGAGCGCAAAGGACACAAACGCGATGAAATAGAGAGGGCGCATCGCGAAGTCGGCCAACCCAAAAGCCATGAAGGGCACCATCGCCAGGTCCTGCAGGGACCGCCCGCGCTCGCGCTCACTTCTCCTCTTGACTGGCGCGCGGTCTGAAAGCTGGCGGTGCACCATGGAGTGGGCGGCGCGTGCCCAGTGGGCGGTGTGGTGCGCTGTAACGGCTGCCACCGGGTGTGCGATGGCGGGCAGAGAGAGCTCCAGGAGCCCCCTTCCGAGATCGCTAACGGACGTGCTGCTGCTGCTGCTGCTGCTGCTAGTAGACGCCGCATTGCTGCTGCTGTCCGCCACTGCTGCGGCGTCATCAGCGCTGCTCCCCGCTGCTGATGACGGACCCTCCTGCACCTCCACCCATCCTTCCGGTGCCCCCTCCATGCCCCCTTCCATGCCCCCTTCCATGCCCCCTTCCATGCCCCCTTCCATGCCCCCTTCCATGCCCCCTTCCATGCCCCCCTCGCCCATCGCTGCCGCCATCATGTCCCCGCCAACGCCCGCCATCATTTCGCCGCTCTCGCCCTCTGCGCTTTCAGCAATGTCGGTGTCCACCGAGAAATCGCTCGACGACCCATCCCTGCCCGGAGAATACACCGCCTCGTACGTCGGGTACGGACCTTGCTCCGCAACCGACGGCTCGAGCGGCGACGCGAGGAAGCGCACGAAGGAGTTGGCGCTTTGCAGCACGCAAAGGACGGCGGCGATGATGAAAAGCACCTTCAAGGCGCGCGCCGACATTCCGCGGAGAGAAGAGATGAGGAGCAGGGGGAGGGGGAGGCTGAGCGCGAAGAGGAGGAGGAGGACGAGCGGGGTGAGGAGGAAGGTGAAGAGGAGGGGGGGGTTGAAGAGCGCGGCGACGAGGGAGAGCGCGCCCATGGCGACGAGCAGCACGAGCGGCACGAGGAACACGAAGCGCCATCCCGCGTCACGCACGGGGCGCTCGTGGAAGTTGAAAATGGCGGACGACTGGTCGAACTCGTTCCAGCCGCCGCCGGACGTTGCGTCTATGCCTTCTGCCCCTTTCCGTTCCTCCTTTTCCGGCGATTTCAGCGGAGGGAAGTCGGCGTGCGACACGAGCTTCTCTGCGACGGTGACCTTGATGTCGCCGCCGTCGTGCGACGAGTGCGACGAGTGCTCCGGCGAGTGTGGGGACGGAGGGGAATATGACCCTTCAGGCTCGGATGGAGTACTCGTTAGTGGAATCCTTTCACTCATTTTGGATTTAAGCCGGGTAGGACTGAAAATGGCGCCACAAACGAGGCTAATGGAGACTAATATAACACTAGAGGTCCCAAGAACTTGATTATAAGCGGAGATTGCGAAATGTAGTGAAGTAGGAGCTGTCCGTGGCTGGCCTTATGTACCGTTGGGAGTGGTAGCGTTAGAACGACTCGCAGGGGAGGTAAGCTGGGATGGGGGTGGTTGTGAAGGCGGGAAAAGACGTGGGGAGGGAAGAAAGGGACAGGGGAGTCTGAGAAGGAAGGGGGCATTCCGCGCGGGCGGGGGAATTGGGATTCTGAGAGCGGGGGTTGGTGGGGCGGGCGGAGGGGAAGAGGGGCGAAACCTGAGGGCTCGCAAAGTTGAAGGGGACAATTTTCGTGGATGACGGGGACAAAGCTCGCCATCTCTATCGCTACACGTCGCATGAATGTGCTGGTAGCTTCACGAAGAAGGTGATGCGATGTTGCCCTAAACCCTAAATTCGCACAGCCAGTGGGTAACGGGCTGACTCGAAAGAACGCGCAGCGGGAAAGAGCTGAATGACAGCTGTTGACCAGGGAAGACTGCATATATCTCCAACACTTATCTTTTAGTATTCTTATCTCATACGTTAAGTGCACTAAAAGGAAAGCCTTTTTATGTTAGGACAATTTGATTAATATTGAATATTACGAGTATATACATATATTTAGACTGCTGCAATGAATCCAAAGAGACAATAATATATGCAACAGTCATCGGATACAAAGTTTTGTTTCCATAGCATATTCTTTCACAATTTCACAAGTTGGCAATGTTCTTAAACTGTGAGTGAACGACTACTTTTTAGTGCAATCTATGTCCCTTCAGTCGTATAAAGGGTTCGGCCGACTTGCTATTGCAAGTCGTTAAAGTAGCCGAGCTAGTCTGATCTCGCTTGCATAATGGGTGTGACAAAATTGAGAAACACCACCCCCTGCAATGCGATTGTAATGAGGACTCCTGAGTCGAACGAAAACGCCTACTGGATAGCATGGCTATAATGGATGTGACATTAGGGAGGAGCTGATGCAAAGCCTGTGAGGAGCAGCAATAAGAGGCAAACAACCAACTTGGTGGAGTAAATTAGGTACGTAATCAACGCAATGTTCTTTTAAGACCAGATAGGAGGAGCCTAGCCCCTATGAGATCAACAGAACAATGCTGCTGACGACGCACGATACAGTAACGACACGAGGGGTCAGGTTTCCGTGGAGTCGGTTGAGGGGGAAGGGGGGGGGGGGGGGGGGGGGGGGGGGAGGAAAGAGGGCGCAGGGGAGGAAGAAGCCGAGGGTGGCGAGGGACGGCTGTTGGAGCGCGAAAAGCGGTGACACGAGCAGCAGCGCCATACATGCTGCGTGGGCCGCCACCCATGGCGCGTCGTGCCGCCGCGGAAGGGCAGCTGAGGGGATGTCGTCGCAATGCGTGGCAGCAGCGCATGCCACTTGTTCCCCCAGTGGAGGGCCTTGTGCGTTCCGCGCTGAGCGCGCCGAGCAGTCCTTGTCCTCGGCTCCCATGCGCTGTGCTTTATTGTCTGAAGCCTCCGCGCATGGTGGGTGTGGCGGGAGCAGCGCTTGGGTGACCAGCGAGGCTTCGAGGAAGACCAGGATGGCGAGCGGGCCGGGGGGGTTGCCAAGGGAACCACCTAGAATTGCCGCCATAGTAAGTTACTAGTATCCTGGCCGTTAGCAGCAGTAAAACTCATGAGTGAAAATAGAACGCCGGGTGGCATGCTGAGCAAGCAAGCTAAACGCTACCATAGCTGCCTCTTGCTGTGTGTGCTTCTTGCCTGCTTGCCTGGATGTGAGGGTGATTCCCTCCAAGAGCACCTCTAGACTCGCGATGTGTGAGGCAAGGCATTCAAGGAATCACGCTTCTCTGAGCCCCTCGCTTCTCTGAGCCCCATGCGCTTCGAGCACGACAGCAGCTCACAATCCCACCAAGTGTGATTTTAGTTTTAATGAGTTCTATTAATGGTCTTAACCAGATACAGTAACAAGGGGCAGGAAAGGGCCAGAGGCCCGAATTCCAGAGAAGGAACTACGGAAATGAGTTGACTGCCTAGCGGACTAGCTTGAAACCGAACATTTCCAACCCCCGTACTGACTTCGCTAAAGAGGCACATGCGAGAGCTAAGGAGGGCAGACTGGATTAAAACAAAGCCAAGTCCGTCGCAGGTCATTGTGAGTGGAGGTAGTCCCTTGAGCAGAAAGCATAAGAGACGTTTCTTCCTTGCAAATCGAATACGTAGTGCAAGAGAACGACGTTTCTTCGCCAAGAGTCGAGGCCGATTGTGAAAGAAGAGTTTACAGGTAATAAGGAAGAAACCCAGGATAGAATCGAGAATCACCATAGGGTGCTTAGCAGGCCAGTCGTGAAATTGATCGCAGCGGGAAGTCCATAGCGCCTTTGCAGCAGCACCAACTAGGAGACTATAGGGGGCATAGCAACCACGCAGTATAGGTGGAGGGAAGAGAAATTGTTCTGCTGAAGAAGAGAGACCAAGATTATCACGGGCTGTTCTCTGAAGAGCCGAAATGACTAGGGGAGCAGTGCCAAAGCGAAGAATAATGTCTCGATGGCAGGCAACGAGGGGCAGTGGACCCCGGAGGTGGTAAACTTGAAGCAGAAGCCGGCGGGGAGAGCGAAAGCATACGGACGACACAGCAGGGCGCATTGCTTGCTGGTCTATTTGCAAAATGTAAAGGATGGAGCAACAACGGAACCGACGGCAGGGCCAAAGGGAGATCTTCTTTCTAGCACAAATGAAAGGTGAGCGGTGCTGGTGAGTATAGCAGATTGCTGGTTACTGGAAGAGAAGGAAATCCTTTATGCAGCATCTCAATTCTCCCAGAGACTCATGGGCCATGGCAGAGTGAGCCAAAGAACCGGTCGTCTTGGACCCATGTGGGGATATCTACAGACCGCGTTAATCAACAGCACTCACTCGCCTCCTCTGCTACCCACCCCTCTGCAGTGACGACGTGATGATGGAAGACGGTTGCCAGTGGAGAACTCAGAGTGACGAAAGAAAGGATGGAGGAGGGAAGGAACTGACGAGTGGAAGCTTTGAAGACCCAGTCATATGGAGAAAGAGGGTGAGATTCAGGGGAAAAACTGCATAGAGCATGCCACCAGGCTCTAGGAACGGCGACACATATTTCCTCATACAAAGTCCTACAGCTGGGGAAGGAGCTGGGAGGGAAGAAGATCATGAAATCCTGTTGGGAGTTCCCTTATGCCGCCTAGGATCAGAACTACAAGATGTCCCAGGCGAATCTGATTTTGCAATTGGGATTTTTTATGTTTCAGACGTCCGAACAGTTATCATTAGCTTTCAGGAGCCATCTATTGAAGGCTATCGGTTCAGCCAGTAGGCACCAGGGAATCAGGGGAGGGGGAAGAATGACAGGTGAGAGGGAGAGGCAGCTGTCTAGCTCGGCTTGGGCTCGGACCGAAACTCCACTCCCAAGAGATTTTGAGAGATCAGGATGTGCGAGAAAGCTATGCGGCCCGAAAGGAAGTGTAATGCACGAGCGTGCAATGACTTCCAAAGGGGAGGGGTGAAAGCTGCGGAGCGCATGCTGGATGTTTAACGCGTGTATAATGGTGGAACGAGGGGTGGCGCCCAAGCCACCGTGCCTCTTCTTATTACACAACAGAGATTTTTGTATCATCCTCATAACCATACCCTCGTCAGAGGAGAGAAAACTACCATCAATCATGTTGAAGGAATATTGACCGGCAAGCTAGCACACTTTGACCAGTTAGGGTGCTCTCCAGACACCTCGACAAAGGGATGAAGGGCTTGCTGTTTATCAGCAGGCCAGCAGGAGAACTCAGGAAAATTGACACATTGCCCGTGTATGTTGCAAGAAGGCGGCGCTGAGAAGGGGAGAAAGGGAAACTAGGAAGAAACAGAGAGAGGTGCTGCTGCATGATCTCAATCACACAGATGAACAAGAGCGGGGCCAGGGGGCAGCATTGTCTGACACCCGAGCAGACCGGGAAGGACGTACCGAGGTGATTGTTGATGGAGATCTGAGTGGAAGAGCCCTCATGAAGTATTCTTACCCAGCCTGATAAAAGAAGGCAGGAAGGCCGATGTGGGAAAGACAGGCGAAGAGGAACTCTCTATCGACCATGTCATAGGCTTTCCTAATGTCAACAGTAAGAACCAGCAACGGAGCCTTGGAAGCAGTAGCCCACTCCATCAAACCAAGAGTATCGTTAATAGTGTCTCCAATTCTGTGGCCCTTAAGGAAAGCGAACTGCGAGGGGCGGATCACCTTCCCCAGAGAAGATTGGAGGCGGCGAGCAAGGATAAAAGCCAGCAGCTTGTAATCTACGGTCGTGAGGGTAATAGGGCGAAGGTTCTTGACGAGAGATTAATCCCTCGCTTGGGAATGAGAACCGTATGGCTGGTCTTTATGGAGGCAGGCATGTGGCCATGTAATTGAATGGAATGGACGAGACGCAGCACCGGCAGAGCAAGAATGCCTCTGTGAGCTCGAAATAGGTCGCCAGAGAGCCCATCCTTACCAAGAGTTTTCCCTCAGGGAGAGAAATTGGAGCATCCAAGCGGTTAACAAAAGAAAAGGGTAAGACCGAAGGTGGGATATGATTCAAGAACGAAACAAGCCGGGCGATTGGGGCAACTCCACTATAGAGGACACTGAAAAGTTCATACAGTGCTAGGTCATCTCCTGCAGGTCCGAGGAGGCCAAGCCCGAGGTAAGAGTGAGACCGGCTATCTGAGAATCCTTGACCCACGCATTGTGCCCATGCAAAAGGGAGGAGATCCCCATTTCCATGGATCCCTCCACGTTGAGTTTCGCCTTGGAAGCGATCTCAGCAACCTGCAAGGATTCGTATCCCTCAAGCTGGTCCGAGCATTGAGTGAAGAGGGCTGAGGCCGAAGTGTCCCCAGGGTTCCTGAGCAAGTACAAATGCAGCCGACAGACCTTGTCTTGTAGCAAGGAAGTGGTTTTAGCCATCGGTGTTTTTTCCTCTGCCGCAAACCAACACAGATGCTTACATATGTCATGTTTCCATAAGTCCCATCCTGCATGGGATAAGGACTAAGGGAGGGCAGCTGCAAGCAGAGAGTGCCTTGGCAACGTACGGCTTGTGGATTAAGTTGCACGGGAAATGCCATGGCTGGGGAGCACACCACGGGTTAGAAAAGGATAAGGTGAGCCGAGCACAACGTGAGTGAATGGATAACACGTGGGGAACCCAGGGGTAAGAGAAGTCAGAGATGCGATGCCGCCATTTTTGGGAGACATATATCCTATTGAGTATGGAAGCTGGCTGAGGCAGTGACTGAGAGGAAGAGTAAAAATAAAAAATGGCCTCTGACGGCTCTAGCACTCAGAAGCCGTCAAGAAGCGGCGCAGGGGGGAGAGTGGGGTTTATAAATCTACTAACCTCACTTTCTTCTGATGGCAACATGTCCCGGATGCGGTCTAACGGGTCCAAGATAGAACTGATGTCGCCAGCAACGACTAGGCCAATTGACAGATGTGCCATGGCTATGGCAGGGGCGAAAATCTAACCCCACCAAGGGCAATAATCTAAGGCATGCGCTGGGGCATACAAAAAGATAGGGGTAAATTGATCATGACAAAAATTAACCACCATGCTAAGTATTCGTCCGTTAGGAGAAGAAAACTTGGAAAAGGAGACACGCCTATTGAAGCTAAGAAATATCACACCCCCAGGCCTAGGGTGAATATTGGTAAGTACAGCAGCAGTAGGAGCATAGGAGGAGGGACGGAGTTTCTCACTAAGGGGTCGATGGAGCCTGTGATTTTAGAATTTATCTGAATGAGTATATCGGTTTTGTCCTGGATCCAGCTTTTTAATAATCCTTTTTATCAGGATGTTTGATGGCATTAATATTGATACTCGATTTTGAGGGGCGTAATCATGATATCCACCAGTAAGAGGCCCCAGCATGGAAGACCATGCTCATCCACGGGGTAAAGAGAAGCGAAACTAGATCAACGAGAGGGGGGGTAGCTGTGGCGCTGTCGTGGCGACTAGCACGGGGGTAGGTCTGGGCTGAATAAGGCAGACAAAGGTGGAAACCAGCCACATCTCATATTCCAAAGCCAAGTACAGAGGATGGGAACATTCAGTCTAGCACCAGCAATTGGAAGCAAAAGAGGAAGCACTCCGAGAACTAGGACGTCAGAGACTCCGACCGAAAAAAGCACGGGCAGAGTTGCTGCAGCTATTCCTCGGAGAAGAAGAATTGCAGACCCTCGTGGCTCTGCAGGTGAGACAAACGCTGCCATCCGTGCTTGGGGAGGGATGCAGCATGAGACGAGGCCTTGCGCAGATTCTCCATATGACCGGGGCTGGTCATATGGGCCTTGACAGAGTCCAGGGCACGACCACAAGCGAACTCGCAGAGCGTGCAGGTCCAGGGCTCGACTTCTTTGTGCAGCCCAATGTAGATAAGCCCGCATCTTCCTTGAAGGCCACGAGAGTGGAGTTCTCGCCAATGGCTTTCCCTATAAGGCCAAGAGCAAGGAGTGGCAAAAGGAGCGGAGCAGAGGGGATAAGGCAAGTGAGGTAGGCAGATCTCCCACCCGACCAAGCAGGAGGACCAGGAAGAACAGACCGACCTCTAAGTGGTGAAGGGCTGACTACAAGCGATTAGAGGGCAAGGAATAGAGACACGAGCGCGTAACAACAAAAACAGCCGGGCAATTGACAGCTTAAAGCTACGTCACGGAGGTCTGCAGAGCGTTATGGAGCGAGGACTTCCTCGTCGTGGAAAAGGAGTTGTGGTCGCGGACGCAATGATTGCTGCCGCATACACCGCACTCTTGGTAGAAGAAGTTGACTAGCAGCTGGTCCTTTGATTTGGGCAGCCACATAACGGCAGGCGGACGATTGAACAGCAGATCGGAGTCCAGAGCGACAGGGAGGCCAACAAC